AAAACTGACAACATGTACAATGCATAAGCAAAAATGAAATACTAAAACATGTGTATGTAAAATATATTTTTATTTAAAGTTATAAAACTAAAGTAAATCATATGCTCAAATAAAAATTCTCCATTAATGATTCAGAGATCCTTCTCATATGAGAAGATGATTTTATACTGAATATTATACTAGGTAAGAAAATACTTCAAGTGCTAATCATTTATTTTTCTTAGTATTGGCTTCAGTTTTAACTCATTATCTTTCTTCATAGGCATATTTTGCGAAACTGGTTGGCACAATGGAGTAAACTTATTTTGTGTGGCAGGAAATGATTCCTAATAAATTCATACGCAAGTATTTCTGTATAGGCAGAGGTCAAACATAAGACAGAGTCAAGGCAATTTATTCTGAGAACCAGAGCAGGAATCCTTGCTACCCAGGAACTGAATAAAGGTGCTAGGTTTGTGTTATTTCCAAATACTCAAACTTAACTAGTTTTACATCAACTGAATTAATTGGCTATACATTTCACTTATTATAGGGTCTTAAAGAGCAACCCAACTGACTATTCCCCAGTCCGGAATTCTGGCCACAGTATAGGCTATTTCGACACAGTCAGCTGCATCAGACATATTACAGGTGATAGAAGGACCACTAAACAGCCAGAAGAACTGAACTGATATATAGCACAATCTGGTTCAATGTTTGGAAAGAAATGACTTGAGTCTTGACAACAAGTTGTTAAAGATTGTAATCATATATATTCTTTGTATAGTTCTATAGTGAATGATAAATATATGTGAAAATAAGCAAATTCCTTTTAACGACATAGCACCTACCAGGAGTCTAAACAACCAAAAATCTACAAATTTTCTAACATTTGGCAAGGGGAGGATGGTAGGAAATGTTAAATAGGTTTCATGGCACTTAAATGTTAACTTTACTATAGTAACAGATGCGAAATTGTAAACAGAATTACCACCTTACTGTGAATGAAGCAGATGAAAATCTCAAGCAGAATTGAGAAAGGGATCTAAATTGAATATAAATTTTGGTAATAAATACAAAATAACATAATAAACACTAACAGATGTATATTTAAATACTATACATCTATCATATGCTACTATCATATGTGCTTTGATTAGGGCATGTTATGATTGGTCCATGCAAACGTTATCTTTTTATTTTACTTTTACACTTCTTTTGCTAAAAAAAAAATTATTATAAAAAAGAAAACACACAAACAACATTCTTAAGAAAACCTTAAATATTAATGCTTTTCATAAAGTATAAGTTAATATGGTCGCCGGTTCCATTCATGGCCTGATCTGAGCTGCCGCTGAGCTGCCAAGAGGTGGCAGGATGGCTCAGCTAGAAAAAAAAAGGTATATGGGCCAGCCAGCGGTGCATTGGTTAAGAGTTGGCTTGGGACACCAGCTCTGAGCAGCAGGGCCCCGGTTCGGATCCCACATGAGGACCAGTGACGCTGCGCCCTCTACAGCTAAGATGGTGAACAACAACTCAACCTTGAGCTGGGCTTCCGTGAGTCACCGGCAATGGCATAGGCTGCAGTGAAGCTGCAGTGGGCTGCCATAAGCTACTGTGAGTGGCTGGCAGCTGGTGTGAGCTCCCGTGAGCCACTGTGAGCGGCTGTCCAATGGCCGGCGAGCGACTGCCTCACCCGGGAAGAGCGCAATGATAATACCAACATGGGCCAGAGAAGCAACATCCTCCACAACTAGACTGACGAACAAAAGGACAGCAACTTGTCTGTTCCCCTTTCCCCAGTTCCCCAACACTGTTCCCCTCCCCCAATTCCCCAATAAAATCTTTAAAACAAAAAAAGTATAAATTAATATGTACAATTGATACTATGAATTGGTGGGGTTTTCTTATAGTTTCCTACTATTCACAGTCATTATACTTCAAGTTATTTTAAGTGTTAGTTTCATTTACCAATTAACATAATAGAAATCAAGCATCCATTTTGTGTAATGGATAACTTAAGGAGTAATGCTACTTTTCATACTCTATATGGAAAAAAACCAAACTATAAAATTTACCCTGTTAATGTTTGCACCTGCACTTACTTGACCTGGAATAAGCAGTTTAGTTAACTGAGTGACAGCACTAATAAATTCAGTAAACCCAAATCCAGGTGACAAAGATGTTTTTAACAGGAAGTCAGAAATTAGTGTGAAGGTCAACAGAAATGTCTGGAGAAGGTAAAGTAGGAGAGGGATGCGGGATGAGGGATGGTACTGTCGTGAGAGAGGGTGGATGAAACAAAAATGGGAAAAGGCTCTTTGTCCCCAATTTTTCAGTTTTTCTAAGAACTTGATAAGTGGCAGTTCATTCCCTTCCCAAAGAAAATCACTTTCTGGGTGGCCCTTCTCAAGCGCATTATCAGTTCTGGCACCTATTCTACCTCTTTTCCTTTTATGGTAAAGATACAGTTATTTTTACATCTGGGACATTTTACGATTCCTTTGTAAATATAATTTTAAAGCTGAGAGGAAATTAGGAAATCACTTAATCTAAGTAACACTTTATGGTATTGAGAGGGGAACTGCAGGTAAGAGAGGCTATGTATGATTTAGTTTCTAATCTATAAAAATATACTGGTGTGACTAACAGGTTTAGATATGCTGTACTTAGTGTTATGAAAAGAAAGAGACGAATATACGTAAGAAATGCTTTAAAAACACAAAGAAAAAGTTACAGAAAAGGAATGCTCCACTCAGGACTGCTAGTGACCTGCTCTGATGTTAATAAGAAATAGTGAACTGAAAATAAAGGGCTTCAAAGAATGGATTAGAGAAAAGGTACTAAATGATGAAAGTGTAAACACATGTAATCATTACAAACAGAAAAGTATGTATAAAATACGTACTTACCAAATATATGTTCTATCTTGAAGAAAAATCCATAAAATGAAAAATGTAAAGCTTCTCATATTATTTTTTACTAAATTTGTTTCTTACTCAATTTCATTATAAAAACAAACTATATGTAAGATGATGAAAATTGGGTGCTTGCACTTAATCTGAATCCCCAGCCTCCTTTTACATGAAACACGTAGAAAATCAATTCCATTGCTACTTTAGCTAGCTAGGTAGTTCTAAATGATCACTCATTTATATGCTTAACTGAGGTGAAAATAGAAAGCTCAGGTTACAGAGTTTGATGACATCAAATTTTACACAGCTTTCTATTTCTATGACATCATTTCAAAACATTAAAAATCTTGTGTCAAAATAAATGTATTTATTAAATTATAAAAACTTGAAAACTAAATTTGTGTATTCTTAAGGTACTATTTGCTCATAGTTATGAATAGAGCCAATAAAGGTATTTTTCACTGGAATTACTTAGATCAGTGCTTCCCAAAGTGTCTCTATGGTAAAATGCAAAATGGCTTTACATATTTTACTTTTTAAGAATGGATTTAATATACATTAGAAAAATTACATGTTTTCTATTTTAAAAATGAATCAACTAAAAATTATATATTAAGTAAATAACAGTATAGGTGGCATGTGAATATGGCCAAACTTTAAAGTCTAAAGTTTGGAAAATATTGCCTTACATAAACAACTTCTTTGGCAATGAGCTAGCATAATTATGACTGGTAAAAGATGTGAAAGTTCTAAACTACAATATATTTTACTCTCTATAATACTTCTTGGTTTTTAATCTCATAAAAAGTCAGTGTAAATTAGCATAATATAAAAGTAAGTTCTTTCAGTAGAAATTTAAAGTATTTTACTGAATATCATTGAAGAAAGCCTATGAGTGAGAATCACTTCTCTCACTTGCCACTACTAATAAAAACTTCCAAATTCACACAATTGTGGGGTGCACATCAGTAACATTCTGCATAGTACTATACCTACTACATTCTGTAATAGATAACACCACAACACTAAAACGCAACACCCCATTGCCCCAGCCCAGCCTGTGTTGTTTCTCCTCCATACTGGAAAATGTACAATAGTGGCTACCAAGAAGCTAAATCAAACAAATGAAAATTCAAATACTTACTGTCGCTGGGGAGGCCCGAGTGGTGTGTGTCACTGCGTGACCAGAGTTCTCCATTGAATTGCCGATCAGATAGGTTCCTCCCGAGCTACTGATGAGTTGTCCTCCCGTGACGCCCATCTGAATCCCACCAGTGCCCACCATACTGTGGGACGAGACCACGGTGGTCACCTGTGCGGAACTCCCTTGAGTATCAAAGTAATTCCCTCCAGTGTTTTGGCTGTACATCTGCGTTTCTGTGTAAGGATAAGTTGTTGTTCGGCTTTAGAAGAAGAAGAAGAAAGAAATTTACTAGCTTATTTGTATCATCTCATCTAATTTTTTCTAGTGTGAATATGTGTTCAAAATATATCAGGTTAGCCTTTGGAACATGGCAAGTTTTGTATTTTGTATGCAATTTCATTCCCAGAAGTAGTAGGGTTTACTTTCCAACTAAAAGCTACATTCCTTTAACAAGTTCCTCAACACTTCTCTGTACTTGAAAGCTTTTGCCCTCTACTCGTACCCACCTCCAGCACATAAATAGGCTCAGGTCTCTTCCCTCCAAAAAAATCTTGCTGAGTGACTCCTTCAATTCTTTTATAGAACTTCTTGCAAATCCCAGTTTCAGAGAAGCTGGGATCTGGAATTCCTGGGGGCTGATAAGTCAACTCCCCATGCTATTTCACATTCCTGGATGACTTGCAATAAACCTCCATGACGAAGGATGCTTGTAGGGATCTCTTTCTTGACACCATAAGAATCTTGAGCCAACACTTACTAACTCTGGATACTAAATCCCTATCCGTATCTCTTTCTTCTTCTATAGTCAAGCTTCTCCATGATGACTGTGCCACCTCTACATGCCCTCACTTTCCACTTCCCAACAACTGCAGTACAGCTTCTACCCTTAGCCTTTCATGGAAATTGCTTTTAATAAGGTCACTTGCAGCAAAATCTAAATACCAAGCTAGAAGGCTGCTGTCAGTCCTTATCTTTTTTGACCTATTTGCAGTATGACATTGTTGACCACCCGATGCTGCCTTTTCCCTCCTTTCCCTGTTTTGATTAAGCTTGTTTGACTGATTTATTTTTCATTTTCAATTGATTGTAACATATTTTAACATGAATTTAGTTTTTATTTTGAAATAATTATATGCTCACAAGAAGTTGCAAAAATAGTAGAGAGGTGTAAAATAATTTTATTAAAAAATTCAAATATCAGATGAAAATTCCCAGTTCTTTGGCATTCTCTTCAACCCGCATATCAGAGCTAGCCACTACTGACAATTTGGCGTGTATATTTTCATACATTTTCTATGTATACACAAGGTTTCTCTGTCATAATCTCTCCTATTCTGTAGTTTCTATGACATTTCTTTTCCACTTTTCTATTTTTTTTTAACCATTATCTTTCAAGAACATTTTGGAAGCTCTGTTTTCCTGGCACTTTAAATATTAATATTTTCTGAGATGTCCATATTTAGCTCTTTTTTTTTCTCATTTTATTCAGACCACATACATTTACCATATATTATATGACCATATGCTCACAGTAAACAACCTTGCACAAGTTGATTACCTTCACTCTCTTTAATTTCTACTTTAAGAATTTCAAATCTGGGTTTCTAACAACCACCCGGGTATATATAAAATTTAACGTATTAAGTAAAAAAAAAAAGTCCTCATCTCTTCTGCTGTTTTTCCTACATTCCCCCCTCTCAGCAGAGAGCAGCACCACCATCCTCAGCTTTGGAAATTATTGCTGACTCTTTCCTCACTCACAGTGACTTCAGTCACTAAGTCCTACTAATTTTACCTTCTAAATAATTATCCAATTCTCCTTCCCATTCTCATACTCACTGCATTCATTCATATATTCTCCATTATAATCTCCTTCTAATTGGCTTTCCTTCCTCTAATCGGGCTCTCTTCCAATCTATCTTCAATTGTGCTGCCAGGGGAATTTCTCTAAAATGCAAATATGAAAATACAACTTTTCTTAAAAACCTTTCCATGATTCTCTCTTGTCTTCAAAAGGACTTCCAAACCCTTGACTGACCTTACAAGCACCAACATGGCTGGAGCCCACGTACTCTCCGAAGTTGGTAGTAGCAACTTCCTCCAATGCTTTCTTCACTCACACCACACTGACCTTTTCGTGGATCCCCCAAAGTGCCATTTTCTCTTGCCTTCATGCCCTGTTGCATATGGTTTCCTCTGCCTGAAAGGCCTTTGCATTTTTCTGTAACTCCCTTCTTTGTCTTCACCATTTGTAAACTCTTAGCTCAAGCATCACCTTATATCAGAATTATTTCTCTGCACCATCTGCCCTCTGCGGCCACTCCTCACAGGGCGGTTATGTTTTGTTCTTTGTCCTTTCCTAACACCCTGTGCACACCTGATATTTAACTCTCAACATACTTAATGTTAATTTCCTCATGTCTTTATAATCCCATTAAATTCCTTTATCTCATTTGTACCTTCAACACTAAGGCAGTTGCTGGTATACTGTGAGCACACTAGTCAATATGCAAAAATATGATCTGACATAATAGCCAGTTTCATAAATTTCTGAAACACAAATCCTTTTTGTTTTGTTAAAAGATGAGACATGATGCTACACTAGTCATAGATTTGTCTGTGTCATTTAAAACAGGTCATTTGAACTCATTAAAAATTACGCTTGTAAGATAATTTATAATATAAATTTTAGTAAAATAACAATAGTGGGTGATGATAGAAACACCTCCACAGAGAACATTTTTAGAGAGAAAAATGCCATTTAAAATACATATGCAATTCTTCTCATCACTGCTGTATTTCCCAATTGGAAATCTCATTTACATATTTCTTTTATTGCACATTTATTTGATAAAATAAAATAGTCATGCTGATTTCAAATTCAGGTAAAAAGAGAAACGAGGTCATTTAAATCTATGTCTGCTGAATATAACAGTGACCCTATCTGACTGTGCTTAAAATAACACAATATGATATTGATATTTAAGTACAGCCAAATAAGGCATACAAACAGATATAGGACAATAAATACTTTGACAGATGCAAGACATGGTGCCAGCTTTCGTTTTCATAGTCCTAGCAAAAAGTTTATGCATGCCCCCTAGTAATAAGTTAATTTCACAAATGAAATATATAATAACTAATGATAGCTAATATACTGACCATTTACTATGCATCAGGCACTATTCTATGTGCATATTAGCTCAATTAATCTTCAGTTCCTCTCCATGTGATAGATGCTATTATAATTCCTGTTTCACAGACAAGGTGAATAGGTAAAGTAGCTTTGTCTAAAGCACACAGCTGGTAAAAAATAAATTTGGAATCTGCACTGAACCCATGCTCTCAGCCATTCTGTCATATAAAAAGAACTTAACTTGATTCGTGAATGACTGTTGGGGAACAGCCCTAATAGGTGGTACAGGGGCCATGTGAACTTTCTGTTGTTATTTGGGATTTCTTTACACCATAGCTCACGATCTACTAGCCCCACACTACTCTCCTCTTACCTAGAATGGGGTCTGCAGATGTACCCGTAATGGCACAGAAAGAGACAGAAAAAGGCAGGACTATTTTGGAGGATGCTTACCATCACACACTTGGAAGTGGTAAGTTCTATGATCATGGAAGTTGTTATTCTATCACAAGAGAAACATTCTAAGGAATGTAAATCATTCCATTTTTTGGACATGCCTCCTTTATATAATTAGTTCTCAGTGAACATTAGTAATGCAAACAAATGCATCATAGAAAATCTACATCTATAGCCCTCAAGTCAGTATGAAAATATGGTAGTAAAATGCAACCTGCTTTGATTTTCATACTTCCCTCCAGTAGGAGATGATTCATGAGCTAGAAAATGAGCAAAGAACAAGAGAAGAGTAAAAGTCACTAAAGAGTATGTCTAATCCATAAACTATCCTCATTACTGAATCATGACCCATGGGGCTGAGGAGAAGGCTTGCCTACTGCATAAAAATGCACTGGGGTAAAGATCGGCAATTTCTAGGAGGGGAAAAAGACAATTTTATTAGAAAATGACACATCGTGAAATGTTTCTGACTTTGTCTGTGACAAATAAGGTACACTTGCCATGAGAAACAGAGGCGATTTTAAACATTAGATTGGGTCATAGAGGCAGACCATAATATTCTTAGATATTATTCATTAAAGGTACAAAAATAAGCATTAACCTGTTCATTGGAGTACTGTCTGGAGCCAGAGCCAGGGTTATGTGTAGATAACTCCTAAAGGTCTTTTCCATGTCTAAATGCTCTAAACTCCTGAATAAAAACACTGAAGAATTTATGTAAAAAAAAAAAAGCACCAACAGCAAAAACAAGCAGTTCTTTCTTAGGTACTAGAAATAATGACTCTTTAATTCTGATACTGCAGGTTAGCTTATCTTTCACATTGTATAATAAATACGTGTGAGTTATTGCTTGCACACGATTTTCCCCAGAAATTTCCAAACCATGTTTGAGAAAATAACTCAATATTTTCTATTGAGTATATCTGATTGAAAGCAACTATTTCTGGACAGTGCATTCCTGAAACAGCTAAATTCCCAAGCAATTCTGTGCACGTTTGAAAGATGTGGCTGTGTTCCTTTTGTTTGTTCTTCATTGATTGCCACAGATTGTTATGAAAATAATGTCATACTATTTCTATAGCAGAAAATAAACGTTTTTATTGTTCTACATATGTACCCAGTGATGAATGTAAACATGTAGATACGTGCATACTTGCTGACAGAAGCTGCCTCATACCTGACTCTATTACAAGGTTCTATGTAAATGTCAGGATGCAGATCCACTGAATTCAGCAAATTAGCGCTGTTTGCATCCCATCAGACATCAGCACATACCTTGGCTAAACATGACTCTGAATATTCCCTGCTTACTTATTTGCTAGGATGATTATGTCACTTTACCTCAGTTATAACCAAGTTTTCTGTTTTCTTTAACTTCATGTGTCTTATCCACAATTCCACATACATAATATCTCTAAATTATGTGTTTTGTATTGTTTCCAGGTCTTGAATATTCTCCCACCAATAAGCTAGTAAACAATAAAATCAAGCAATGGTATGAAAATGGCAAATTATGGAAATAAAATACCTTGCAAATTTTATACCATAAAATTTATTATGAAGATAGAATATAGATAGTAATGCTGCTCATTACAATATCTTACATTGGTGCAATGTTTTATTGTTTTCAGGTTAATTCATAGTTATTCCTTTAACAAATATTTACT